GTGTGAGAGGAACGGATAAGTAAGAAAGACAAGATTGGTACACTTTATCTGATTTAATACATACAGAAAATCTGGCAGCGCTGGGAATCCAACCCGGACCTTTGGATCTGTAGCCAGGAACTCTGACCACTAGACCACAGAGGCGGTCACTGTTACTATAACCTCCCAGAATATTGACTTTTCCTCTTGGGACCCCCTGTATACTCTAGCTGCCGAAGTTCTAGAATAACCCACGAAAAAGTAACATGTATTTACGGTTTTGTTCATCTTAACCGAGGCACAGCGACTGTTTTCCTAAACAGCATTAACCGGTTGGGCTTTGTAGCAGAGACGTAAAGTGTTTCCTGTGAGGTACGGACTGAACTCTTATATATTATTTAGAAGAAATTCTGTCTTTAGAGGGTTTAGGATAATCTTGAGGACAGCTTTGTAGCAAGTTAATGCGAGTCGTCTGCCGTCACAGGTTAATGATGAAAAATTGGCATTTCGGTCATGGCTGGGTTGATCAATGCCAGGCCTCTTATGCACCGTACGGATTCTTGCTTTGAGTAGCCCAACTTGTGAACGCCAACTATGTTCAGCCGTGTAATGAATCGTCATATGTGACGTTTAATTGTCATCGGAGAAAACAGTAAGAGCCTTAATCCAATGGGTTCCTTCCGTTACTTTTCCAGAGGGATAAATTCGGAAAAATTGGAAACATTTCTGATGAGTAAAGACATTATATATAATATGTATGTAAAATTATATATTTACAGTATAATCTTCAACGTAGCTTCGCATATCTTTGGGTGATTCCCCATTTAATCTATGCTTTCATGTAAATTCAACATATTTCGGCCACACGGGGACATCATGGTGGAGTAATATCACTCACCCAACTTCTTTATGGCATGCTGCTTAATGAATTAAATAATCACAGGGATTATTTTTCATATACATGAGTCACAGGGGGTTGTTTCCTTGAGGGTAAATAGGCAAGGGCGTGAAACTGACCGCTCTTCTCCGAAGAATGCTGTAGCTATACCTTCACTCACCCCATACGTCCGTATGGCGTGATGAATAAATACGTGTACGGGTAACCTCAAGTTTTTTTTTTTTCGCTGGCTCTACAACCCCCTTGAACCCTTCCCTTTGATTTTCAAGTTTTATGATTATTTTACAGACGGTAGGACCCCTTGGACGGGTGATCAGCTCTTCGCAAGGCCTCTACCTACACACAGGACAGTACAAACAGAATAAACGAACACCCACAGACATCCATGCCTTATGTGGGATTCGAACCCACGATCCCAGCTTCCGAGCGAGCGAAGACAGTTCATGCCTTAGACCCCTCGACTACCGTGACCGGCAGTGTATAAGAATAATATATAAGAATTCAGTTCGTACCTCACAGGAAACAGATCCGAACCCACGATCCCGGTTTCCGAGCGAGCGAAGGCAGTACATGCCTTAAACCGCTCGGTTACCGTGACTATTTCTGCTTTGTGCGTTACCTCCTGTTAGGAGTAGGCGTGCTTATGCTTGCCTGCTATGCCTTGCTTGTCGCTCAAGCGAGCATAGATAAGGAGCAGCAAAATTGGCCACGTGTCAGCACGCTCTATCAGCAGCATGTATTGCAACCGTGAAAGGTTACAAGAAGCGTCCGAGGCAGAAATTTGCGGATCTAGCCTGCGGGGTGCCTTAAGTCTCTGAAACGAAATTAAGGCGTTCTTTGCATGTCGCAAATCGCAAGCCGATATGTGGGTCTACCACTTATACTTGTCTCATTCTTGACATGTTCACTAACAGGATTTCTTCCAATAAGGCGTGGAGTTGCCGGGGTAAAGATAAAGAAATTTATCCATGTAACAGGATATGGGGGCTCATAGGATTTTGAGACGTCGAGGCTCCCACATTTTCTAGACAATCGACTCACACGCCGGCCGCCTTTAGCCCTTCAGTAAGATTCCTGGTACTGATTTCTGTTAGAGGTTGAGTCGGTCCCAGGGCCATAGTGCGGCTGGAAGGATTAGGTAAATCGAAAAAATACACCTCATCGGGACCTGCGACCTACCGGCCTATAGCATAGTGCCTCAACCAACTACGCTACCGCATGCCCCAAATACGTGAAAATACCAACAAAATAAGAAAAGTACGCTAAAAATTAAAATAATTTAAAAATAAGTTATTAATTTATACTGGATAATCTAGCACTGTCAGTAAATAGTAACCTTAGGCTGCGCCATAGCTCAAGCGGTTAGTCGCTGCATTCCCACCGCGGCAGCCCGTGACCGATCCCGGGTCTGGTCAAATGGGATTTGTGGTGGGCAAAGTTGCGTTGGGGCGGGTTTTATCCTAGTACTTCTGTTTCCCCTGCCAATCTTCATTCCACCAAATTCTCCATCATCATTATCACCCGTGGCAGGCTACAATAGGTCAATCAGTGGCCGCCGTGCCGAGTGGACCCAGTTGTACTCCACCCCCCACAAAGCGAATTTAAAAAAAAAATGGTAACCTGAAACAACTTAAACGTACGTTTGAAAGCAGATTCTCTGGTTGCCCCTTCTCCTTTTTAAATCTTGAGGCGCTAGTAACGCTCAACCAAAGCAAGACAGGGTCGCGTCCCAAAACACATCAATCTTCGAATTTTAACTCATAAATAATATGAATAAATTGCAGAATTCTTTTCCCGCTGATTTTTGTTTTAACAAACATAAATCGCACGGAACATACATGAAATGATTGCATGAACCCTTCGCGTCTCTTCAGTTAACACGGATAATGTACCCCGCTACTCGTGCAGACACACAGAGAGACAGGATAAGTGCTGTCTGCTATGTTCTCTGCTGCGGACTTCAGCGGAAAATACCCCGTTGCTGACGGCTGTTGTGAGGTTATTCCCCCGGGGGTGCGGGACAGGATGAAGCTTTCCCCCTGCTTGGGGTCAGTATTGCCCATGCCACGAAAACATGTACACAGGGGTCGTTACAGCTTGTATTCTCCTCGCTGAAAACATCGACTGAAAGTGAAGTATTTTTCTAACGCTGTATTGTACTCATGGGCGTCAGCAGGGGCGAAGTCCAGGTGTCAGTCCTACCAACCACTGGGCGCTGTAGCCCTGGGTGAGCCTTGGCCTCCTCTACAACCAGTGCGTACTGCCATAGGAATGGATCCACGCATGATGACCCGAGGCTGGCTGTTAGGTTTCTGAACAAAATTCTTTTTACAGGATGAGGTTGTTAGGCCCATGCCCAATCCCCAGCTTGGAGTACCAGGGTATATCTCTTACTCTGGACTCTACCCTTTGATCTTTCCTGCATAAGTGACCCTACCGATAGTTAAACTACCGCCGGCATAGCTCTCCAGCTCATAGTCACGCATGCCCACCACCACTACAAGGTGGAGACACCTTTTGGGGGGAGGTGTCAGTATTTTTTTAATGATATATGTGACATAAAAGGTAAAACGGTAAGGTAAAGTTAACCCTGCATAGACTCACATTTTCTTGACCTCGGTACTAGTTGGAGGTGAGTGGTCAGCTTCACGGTCCGGCCGCTTTAGCTCCGGGTAAAGAGCCCCCGGTACACATTAGATAGTTCTGGCGGATCCCAGAGACGGTGTGGACGACATGGAGAAGTAAAAATTCTTGACCCCACCGGGACTCGAACTTCTAATTCCCGGTCCTCCCCACATATTAATAACAAAAAAGTTAATTTATTTAAAAAGATATTCTCATATGTTGAATACTCTAGGAGAGTGGTTCTCAAATTTTGTGAGACAGCCGCCCGGTAAATTCTTTCTTTATAAGGCGAGGGCCCGGTACCGGACTGCAGTGTCACAAAATTTGAGAAACCCTGGTCCAGGGCGATCAGAGAAAATTGTTTTTAACAGCGTAAACGTAAGTTCTAAACCAAATTTTCAGGATTCCATCTCCGCGGTTATATTACGCGATATACATGACTAACGATCACTTTTGGCTAGCAGTACAGGTCTTCCCAAATCCATTAAAGCCATGTCTTATAGCATTTTAAAGCTTAAATCTATGAAATTACTTTTTTCTATGCCCATTTGGTACAGATTCGGCCATAAAAGCTGACAAAAATTCGGCTTATACATCTCAGATATTGCTTAGGTGTAACATGACTGCCGCTTCAGTCATGGGTACCTATACTACACTTAATACATCCACATCAAAATGTTACCAATACTCACATAATAGACACGATACACTGTAACAAAATCATCTCTCTCGTTTGACCCTTCATAATTTATCGCTCATACAACATATTAGCAGAAATAGGGATAGCTTAGTCGGAATAACAACTGGCTACAAGTTGGAAGTCCCAGGTTTTATTCCAGGCAGTGTAAGATATTTTTTATTCGCTACAGTATTTAAGCCGACACAGACCCACCCATCCTCCTATCCAATGGGTACCACAGGCTATTTCCTTGGGGGTAACGTGACAGAAGCGTGAAGCTAACAACTCACCTCTATCTAGTGCCGAGGTAAAAAATGGTGGAGCTATACCTCCATTCCCCCTTACAGCTTCATAGTATAATGCTTAATTAATTAAGCACAGGAACAACTTTATAGTACGTTAACTCGAAATGGGGCAGTGACAGTGATAAATCCGATCCGTACAGAACTTCCTTTTACATATATAACCGGAAAACAGACGGCATTTGTTAAGGTGTAGCTGAAACACATATTTTATTTGACAGAAAGGCTCATTTTACAAGCAAAATTACTTATGCAATTATCTTATAGGCATAAATCCCACTTACCCGTACCCTATCGCCTCACACCTGTGTAACAAGAAGACCTGTTGTTTTCGCACTCAACAAATTGCACTTATCACTAGCTGAAGTCCAACTGGCATAGTTTCTAAGCAGCTTCGCATGTAGGAAACTTTCACCTTCGAAACTGCTACTCCTATTGGCTTTACTTAAGAAATTAGCAGGTATAACAAGAAGAAGAAGAAGTAAAAAGGAGGAAACTAATATGAAACTCACGTGGGACAGCAATGCTGATGTAAACACGTCGCTTCTACGTCCTGTAAACACAGTTCCCTCCTTCGCTGTTGAAATGATTCACAAATATCCTTAAAGAAAGATTTATAATATGTTTTTTCGCCAATGTAAGATGTCCTCATATGTCTTTAAGGTCATACGCATGCGTATAGAAAGCACTGTGCGCCGTTGTGAGACCACTTTGCATTGCCTCAAGCCCCGTAAGACTTGAGTCAGTGTATTGGTATGCTCGCACTGTGATCGGAGGATGTTACCTTGGTTCTGATGACCTCCAGAGAGGAAGGAAGGGGAAAGGAGGAGGCGGGCTGTATACGTACGTAAACTCTTTAATCAAACAAGTTCCTAGTCATAAATACCGAGAAATGGCAACATTTTTCCTGATGAAGGCTGTTACACACCTCACGAGGCGGTGATGCATTCCATATAATATGGAAGCTAGAATACGTCATCGTAGGTTAGTGACGTATATAGTTACGTCATCAATATAAATTAATTATATCCAATTTCAAAATATGTTTTCATATTCATACGCATGTGGGAATTTTAGAGGTACACAGGACTACCATATTGCAAGCTTGGCTACGTAGAATATGACGTACCATGGTTCGTTGAACCATATGAAACAATTGTGGAATTGTTATTACTGTGGGAAACCCAATAGACCGCCTCTGTGGTTTAGTGGTCAGAGTTCCTGGCTACAGATCCAGGCGCTACCAGATTTTCTGAGAAGTAGTGGGTCTGGAACGGGGTCCACTCAGCGTCGTAGTGATAATTGAGGGGATAATTCAAGGAAATAGCGGCTCCAGTCTAGAAAACCGAAATTAACGGCCGCGGAGATTCGCTGCGCTGACCACGTGACACCCTCTACCCGCAAAAGTTGGCACTAACTTCGCCGACAAGCGGCGGTCGCTCGGTCGGTATAGTTCGCTTGTGGACTGCAGGCCACGGAGTTTGTTTGTATGGGAAACCAAATAAATTAGGAAAACTATGCTAATATGCACTTCTTTGTGCACTGTGAAACTCAGAAGAATGATTAGTACAGAAATGGTGGAATGAAGATGTCGTGGCCTATTTTAAATGAGTATCCTAGTTTATCTAGGAACTGGAAAGGCGTAGTCGGTATAACGACTAGCAAAGGGCTGGTCGACTGAAGGGTCGGATTTCAAATCCCGATAGGGTCAAGAATTTTATCTTCTCCATGTTGTCCAGACCGGCTCTGGGGTCCATTTAACCTCCTGTCCAATGGCTAGCGGGAAGACTTTACCCGGATGTAAAGCGGCCAGGACGTGAAACTGATCACTCATCTCCAGCTAATGCCGAGGTCAAGAGAGTGTGGATCTATACATCCACTCCCCCATACGTCTTCATGGCGTAGTGCTTAATTAGTTTAGCACAAGGACAAATTTACCTTTTACGTAGTTTATCTAGAGATTCGGAAGAAAGGGTGAAAACCTTAAAGAGCATAGTGGTTTTCCAGTAGGGAAAACTGAAAAACATTAACGCTTGAACAAAGTTCCCCAGTTCCAACAGCAGGAAGAAAACTGAATGTTAATAAAGTGAATTATTTTGAAGCGTACAGTTTTCCTGGGTGTAACGCCGTGTGGTGGGATAGAAGTTTACTAACTTTTCGGTTGAGCTTTCCTCTTCCATCTTATACGGCTTATTCGCCTCTCTCTTGTCTTATCTTTTTTTCCCCTCTTGGTACTACAGCCATAGTGGGCCTAGGCCTACCTCCATGAACTTCTCCGTTCACTTCGGTTTTTTTCTAGATCTTACACATTCGGTAGGTCTCCTTGGGTGGGTGATCAGCTCGTCGCAAAGCCTCTACCTGTACACAAAGACAGAAAAACGCACACACACAAACTAAATATCCATGCCCTGAGTGGGATTCGAACCTACGATCCCGGTTTCCAACCGAGTGAAGACAGTACATGCCTTAGACTGCTCGGCTACCGTGACTGGCCTTGTCTTATTTTACGGCCTTAAAAATGGGGACCACATGGCATTACATTCCTGAATACCATTCTCTTCCCAGACATTACTGGGAGAATCACAGATGTCACGTAAGTTACTTCGAATGATATCCGTGGCGTCTTTGAATGCTCAGTCACATTCTACAGGCCCGGTGTGTGAAGTCCATCTACTGTACGAATCGAGAGCACGTCACAGTTTCAATAGGCAGCCTTAGATGTTATAAAAAGAAGGTAAAGCTATCCCTGTAACAGGCCGTGGAGATCCATAGGGTTGTGAGACGTTGAAGCTCACATATTTTCTAGACAATCGGCTCATAGATAGCGGTAAGATTGTCAGCCTTACGCACTGGCTGTACTTTACCCCCCAGGAAGATTCCTGGTACTCATTTCTGTTAGAGGCTGAGTCGACTCCAGAGCCATACTGAGGCTGGAAGGATTAATCTTCTCTCGCTCCCACTTATGGAGTACAGGGCTGATTTCTCCGTTTCATGATCATTTTACAGGCGGTAAGACTCCTTGGACGGGTGATCAGCTCGTTGCAAGGCCTCTACCTAAACACAGGATAACATAAACGCGGAATAAACGCATACATATACCAAAAATCCATGCCTTGTGCGGGATTCGAACCCACGATCCCGGTTTCCGAGCGAGCGAAGACAGTACATGTGTTAGACCGCTCGGCTACCGTGACCGGCGCTCGAAGGATTTGATCACTTTAAAAATCCAATAACCTCACCGGGAATGAAAACCGCGACTGTAGCCAACTACATTACCGCATGCCCCACAGATGGCAAACCTTACGGAAGAAAATTCCCGTATGTGTCCGGATTTCCCATAGGCGTAAGAATGCCGGAATTATGTTGAAAATAGAATTAATAGCTTCCTAATGATGACGTAAGGTCTGCGTCACTCACGTGACTATGACGTACCGTCGATCTTATGATAGACTGGAGTATACCAGATTGTTTGCTCAGCCTCCAAGACACTGCAGTTTCTCGTCATAGGAACAGTAAGGAAAGTTAAGTAGCCGGCGCACATGTTTGACAACTGATATTTAAAGTACAAAGTGTTCCTTAGAAAGCTGTTACGTTACGCAGTGCATGGGACATACCTTGTATAACCGGAAGCTAACAAACTTCTCACTCTTTCAGTACAGTTCGCATTTACTTCCTTCAGAAACAATGGGATTCTCCGCGTTGACTGCTGAAGAATTTCCGCCCAGGAAAAATAACTCCCTTTTTTAATGTTATTTTCAGAAATAATTCGAAATACCCTTAACAGTATAGTGGCTCGCTGTAGCTTGGTTGGTTGAGGCACTGTGCTACAAGCCGAAAGGTCGCGTATTCGAATCCCGATGAGGTCATTGGATTTTCCAATCTACCTAATCCTTTCAGCCGCACTATGGCCCTGGGATCAACTCAGTTTCTAACAGAAATGAATGCCAGGAATCTTACTGCAGGTTTAATGGCTGCCGGCGTGTAAGTCTGACAACCTCAACGCCATCTGTTGAGCCGATTGTCTAGAAAATGTTGGAACCTCGACGTCTCACAAATCTATGGGCCTTTACGAACAGTTTACATGGTTAAGTAGGATTTTTCTGGGTTGTGAAACTGTTCAGTTTGGATAGTTAGACGTTTCGGTGGAACATGCCTCCAAATGCAGGGCCGAAGATCGATTTTTAACAAAAATAACACTGGCAGAAGCAGTGAGTCAGGGTATGCTGAGTCAGAGGGCGGTACAACACAGATCATAACCACCTTGTGAGAGACAAAATCCAACAAAATATACGCCATGGTTTCAGGATAACGGCCCTAAAATATTAATCCTAAAGTAGACCGCAAGATTGTAACCGTAAAGGAGAATACTCGTGTCTACAGGTACGTTCAGATGACTCTCACCTTGGTTACGTGTGTTTACTCTCACTTTAAGTTGCGCAGGAACAATTCGTACACAGCGGGGCAGCATTGGTAAAGTATAAGCAGGTGGAAACCAGGCCTAATCGGTGTTATAACTCAGAAAATGTTACTCTTCATAACTACCGTTGTGAGAACCTGGAGTTCCACATAATCTTAAATATTTTCATGACTTCTCACCTGCTTTCACTCTGGTATCTTGCTAGACTTATTCGACTCTGAAGATTGAAGCGATATGTTCTTCCGAAACATCTGTTGAATTTCAACGGGCTACACAGTGTTGTATTCCAGAAGATAGAACTCTTCATAAATAGTCTTAATTTTAAGTCTTTTTGTTTTATTGCTAGTGGGGTGGGACTAAGTCCCTTGTACTGCGGCCACTTCTGGCCTATTGTACCAGCCCCAGATGACAGGTGAGTGTGATTGTGGAGCAATTGGTGGAATGAAGATTGCCAGGGGAAACCGAAGTACTCGGATAAAACCTGCCCCATCGCCACTTTGTCCACCACAAATCCCACTTCACCATACCAGGGATCGAACCCGGGCGGCCGCGGTGGGAAGCAAGTTACTAACCGGTTGAGCTATGGCACAGCCTCAATTTTAAGCCTAAATATATATATTTAGTTAAATATTGCAAGTGACGCCTAAATAGAGTAAACCCTCGCTAATCCGGATTAACTGGGGGGGGGGGGCCCTTAGTGAAGCGAAAGGTAGCCCTAAAATAAAAAAAAAGGAACAGAAATAAATGGAAAATTTAGTGATATATATAATGCTGATGAAACAAATAAGAAATATTACTGTATAGTCTTTATTTAATAACTATAAACGGATAATACATTTATTCAGTGATAGAAAACTCAGAAATTGTACTTTGTTTCTGAACGTCGTAATTATGTTTGGAAAAACTATGAGGTTTTTCTTTTCTGAACTGAAAACCGACTCATAAGTCACGTGTCTTTTAGAATACATATTCAACTTTGAACCTTTTCCCGGGGGTAAAATGGTCGAGGCGTCAAGCTGATCACTCACCTCCAACTACTGCCGAGGTCAAGAAAATGTGGATCTACACTTCCACTCCCCCATACGCCTTCATGGCATATTGTTTAATTAATTAAGCACGGCAAAAACTTTACATTTTTTTAACTTTTGCTCAACTTTGAACATAATTTTTCAATTTTCCTACTTCGATTCGAATTATCAGAGATTTATATTAACTGTAACTGGATTAGGCGAGGGTTTAGGCTGGGGCCACACGAGCGCACGAAGTACGTCCGTTGCAACGAACGTACTTTATAATGAACGTTGCTGAGGACACCACACAGTTGCAGAATGCGGTGCGTAGTTTTTTGTCTGCAATGGAGCCAGAAGAAAACGTAGCATTCGCCTCTCTTGTTTATTTCAACAACGGACGTCACGATATTCGTTACAGCGGACGCATTTTGTGCGCTCGTGTGGCCCCAGCCTAAGCAGTATCGGGTGTATCCTATCCCACAGTAATAACTTTCTTTAATATAGGGTACATATATAAAATCAACATCATATCCAATATGTACCGGGAGCTCTTTCCCTGGGAGTAAAGAAGCCGGGGCGTGAAGCTGACCAGTCACCTCCAACTAGTGCCGAGGTCAAGAAAATCTGCATCTATACACTCACTCCCCCATACGCCTTAATTTTACCTTACAACTATAAAATACTGTGAAAAATAAGTATTTATCTTTCGAAGCTAGGCAACATGAGTTCAAGAACCCTTTCATTTAACTTGTAATCGAAAACTTTAAATTGTCTAGGAATAGTGAAACCAAACACATCACAAACACAGACTCCTGATTTCCACCTGAATATTATCTCTACTGGACCCCTGCCTCCGTCACTGATGTCTGGGATATGACACCGTGAAGTCGTTTAGAAATTTACCAATGTTTCGGTAGAAAGTGCTGACTCCGTCTTCAATGTAGGTGGTACCTCCTGCCTCTATCGACAGCTTACAACCTTGTACACACACGCTCGTAATATTTCGGGAAATTTCTACTAGACTGCATGGCTTAAAATTTCTGAAGACAGCACTATCCATAGTCTCCTTGTTGAGAACATCAGATATCAAATAAATTATAAACTGCATTGCAGTGTTTTCACCAAAATGACGGTGTTTGAAAGAAGGTTATGTTGTACAGTTGTGGAAGAGCGATTTATCGATCTTGCTGCACGGCGTGTAAATGACAGCATTTTCCTGCCATCTACTAGATATTTGGAGAACTACAAAGAGCTGAAACCTTACAAAATGGTTCATAGCTTCTACATTCAGGGCCTATGGCAGCTCGAATTGTTCAGGTTTGACGAAATAGCAGTTTTAAAGTACTTTTATCAATATCCTGACTTCCTATCCCCGAAATCTAACAGGATGTTATATGGCTGCTTGTTTTGTTCCCATCAAACACTCTCAAACCGAGGAACACCCACAGTCTGAACACAGTCTGAAATCTCAGGTTAATATTTGACAGTGAGTGACGCTGAACTCAACTTATTGGGATTTTCATGAGGCATTTTGGAATAAATTCAGAACTTGTAGCCATGAAATTTAATTGTACCGATGTGTTGGACACGAGCCAGGATAGCTCAGTCAGTATAGTGACGGGTTACGAGTTGGACGGCTGGGATTCGATTTCCGGAAGGGGCAAGACATTGCTCTCTACATAGTCCAAACAGGGTCTGAAAATCACCCTGCTTCGTATACAATGGGGAAAGGGCTTCATTCAACGGGGTATGATGCTGACCACTCACCTCCATCTAGTGCCGACAACAAGAATGGTGGAGCCATACCTCCACTCCCCCATGTTTTCATGGCTTAGTGCGTAATTGATGAAGCATAGTCAAAATATTTCTTGTTGTGTCAGTAAACAATACAGATATTTCTAACAAGATTTTAGTTAAGCTATTGAGGAGCACCCGTTAAATTTTCATGTCATTTTCAATAATTTTCCGACAGATTTTCACCTGACGCGTCGTGAGAGTAAATTAGATTTCTTGAATAAACAAGAGTCTCAATTGCATATTTATAGATCAAGAATTTTCTGTCGACTTACTCATATTTTAAAGTCGAAAATATTTTAAAATATTGGTCTCATTCTAGTAGATGAAAATTTGAAAATTTGTAGAAACACTACTTATTTTTCTTTTTCTTTTTTCAAAATGCATGTTAACTTACATCATAACTACAAGAACATGTCAAAGTTTCGAAAACTGCGTATTATTTATTCTTTTATTAAATCAAATTTTTTATAATAGTACAGCAGTCATGTCCTTTCAGATCGTAACATTTCCACGTTTATTTCCAAGACGAATGAAAGGGCAGAGTATCTCGTCATTAGAATTTTCAGGCTTTAAGACGTCAGACTTGAAGGCCCAGGCTTCTGAGACGCCGAGATGGATGACGTGCTGGTTGACGACAAGAAGTCTGTAGCGTTGCTGCTGGCCCTGACTACGGTGTCCTTCCAGAGGCCAAGCATTGTCGTCCAGAGGTTTCTGGTTGATGGGTCACACACGACGAAGAAGAGAAACAGCACGAAGCCCTGCACAGTTCCACTGACACAGAACAAGTATGAAAACACGAACCCGGCTCCTAGCGCTGCCATCATCCCAAACAACCAGGACAATCCCAGCAAAAAGAACAACACGAAACCGAGTCTCAGTTGTTGCAGAACCAAAGGGGGACTTCCTTCGCAAATGTCTCGCCGATTTGGTATTTTTGCAATGCTGCAAATTATCGTGACGTACACTACAAGGTTGGTCGCCACGATGAGCCCAATAGGAAGGAGAATGCCGAAGTAGAGGGGAAGTCCCGACGGATAGCAAAGTATTGTTGACTCTGGAGACGGAGGGATGTAAGACGAAGGAGCCAGTGCCAAGACTAAGAGAACAGGAATGACAGGGACAACCCACCCAAATATCATTGCCTTAAGGAAGAAACGCGGGGGTCTAGTTGCGCCGAGAACTCTGACGTAGCGAAAGAACTGCAGCAAAGCTGTGATCAGCATCCACGCAAAGGCAGCAAGGATGGAATAGTGTAACAGTGCCCCAATAATGGTACAGGTTATAGTTTGTTCGAAAGTTGGACATTCAGTCTCCATAGTGCTCCTCATAGTTACAGCCAAATCATAACTGGAAAAGCTTATTTTTTCGTCCAACAACTGAATATCTAAAGGCCTCTGAATATTATTTTCAACTGACGTGTCAGCCTCCATGTAGTATTGGAGGCCGAAAGATTTTGGAGTGCATTCTTGAGGGTGTTTCTCATAACCAGATTGGACAATATCAGCACTGGATAAAATGAATATAACCATTTGTATTCCTAACGCTAACGAAAGCTGAAGGAGAATTTTGGTGCCTGGTTTCTGTCTCCAGGACTTGAAAACAATAGCAGTAACAGCGATTCCAAGGACACCGAATAGTGATAGTGAGCATCCCATAAGCGATATTATGTCCAGAGCTTTTTTGTGATGGTAATCCCTTTCTACGAATCCATACGCAGTAGTTGATCTGTCTTGAACTCCAATCAAAAGCTCCGAGAAGTGAGTCAGATGAGTGCAGACACATACGTCAAGTACGTTGAGAAGTGACGAAATATTCCCAAATTTAGTTGTGTCGGATAATGCATTACCAGCGTACACACAGCCTTCACGAGACCATCCCCCGAGGGACGAGCTGGCAGAGGAACTGTTGTAAGTAAAATCCCAAAATGTACACTGTCTCTCTTTTGCTCCGTGTATGGAGGATACGTTAACAAGAGGTCTGAAGACTATGGGTATTGGCATTGGCAAGTCAGGGCTGTACCCTGGAATCGACACGCTGACAACACGGCTCACAACAATAGAATCGTGACCATTTGAGGAGTGTTCGAAATGAAGAGAGTTTTCTGCTTTATAAATATTTTGGAAAATGTGGTCATCGTAAAATACAACGATAACAATCTTGGGCCTATTTTCAGTATTCTTTAACAAAGAAAACATATAATTTTTGCAGTCAGGAGAATGATCGTACCACGAACTGTTTTTGTCACCTTTAACATACTCCATTATTACGTCTTCAGGAACCCAAACAGCAACTTCTACGTTATTCAGATTTTGCAAGAAATCAGGATTATTATCGTTTGTCTTCAGCGGTTTTATGGTGAGTTCCTCGAAAGATTTATATCCATGTGTTGGCATCGGGGATGAATTCGATATATTTTCATTCCGTAACAGAACCAACCCCGTAACATTACTCATGATCGGATCTGAAACCTGAACAATGATTTGCGAGGTGATGGCAAGTAACAAACCATCATCTCTGTATTTTGAACCAATCGTTATTCGTTCCATTAGGCGCTGTAAGGAATCCAGCAGAATGTTCGTGGAGTTGAAGTAAGTCTGCGAAAGTTTAACATACGCACCATTCGCCTTCTGTACGTTGTTCAGTATGTGAATTATAGTTGTTAAAGAAGGAATTGTCTCCTTGATTTTGGCCAATTCATTCATTATCCTGGAAACGAAATATATATCTGCCGTAGTAAGTAACGAAGGGTTTGATACTAACGAAGCTACCTCGCCCGCCAAACCTTCATAATAACATGCATTCTTACTAGTACTTGATAAAGCCAACTCGTATAGTGAACGAGTAACATGTGAGATGTTTCTATTGATACATTTTCCTGATGGTTTATTCCATCTCGCGCCATGAATGAAGTCACCTGAGCACTTACGATGAACAGGCACTCCATCCCCTTCCAGACACAGTTCCGTAGAAACGCAGGTCGAACCCCGAAGAGTGCTTTTCCAGTTGAGTGGTTTTGATTCGTCGTATGTGACATCCTGAGGACATACTTCTGTACTGCGGAAGGAATGGAAAGTGTACATATCTTTGTATCTCTCAACAGTTCTCCTCACAATACCCATAGTTCGCCTGTAGTCGTCCAGGAATGTGGTCTTGTTACCTTGATTCGATTGAACGTGAAAAATAAACCTCAGGGTTCCATTACTGAATGCATTTATGATTCTCATTACTTTCAGTGATGCTACTTTCCTCCGCGGTATTTTGTCACTAAGATTGAGCGTGATCCTGTCTAATATGTCGGAAATTGTTGGATCACACTTTCTCATGTCCTTGCCATTGTTGCAGTTTCCATGGACGTCCAAGATTAATGAATAAGTAGGTCCGTTTTCTTGTCCAGTGATCAAGACAGTGTTACTTTTTATGATTTCAAAATCTGCGATCTTTTGCCCTTCACACCAATAGTTTCCAGAAGATTTCTTGTCGTATTCAAGTTGATATATTTTCTTATGTACATGAAAACTGAGTTTTGATTCATTTCTTTTCCCACGAAAATTACTAAGCATTTTGATGTCGTCAATTGTCCATTCCTTATTCCATATTTCTGTAGTCTGTACTTCACGTACCAGCACACCCCTAGAATCTGTAAAACACTTGAAACCTTTGTCGTCTATGGACTCCTTCCACAATTCATACGGAAAGTATACTCTGAGACGAAGTTGTTTAGTTGACGGAAAGAAATTGAGAGTAAGAACAGAGTCCATGATGTCAGCATCAGCCTCGCACACAAAACACTTCAGAGTTGAATAATCCGGTAGCAGACTCCAGGTGCCGTCTGTGAGGATGGCTCCTCGAGTTCCGAACTTCATTGCACGTCCATCTTTAGCGAATTCAGAATTCCAGTTGACAAAACGAACTTTACTGTATTCTGAATTCCAAGTGAAACCATTCATTACGCCATCTTTTCTTTTCAATCCCATCCAGCATTTAGACCCTGGTTGTGGTTTATTGATTTTCACCATTTCCAGAAACATGAATATGTCTTGTGCCGAAGAAATTTGCATCAAATGTCCATTCCTCTTCTTACGACACACTTCACTTGCCTTCGTCCAAGTAATTGGATTAGTCAAATTGTTGTGTAACCTGAAACTTCTGTTGCTGTGCCCGATATTGTGTCTTGCTACATAATAATTTTTAGGGCAGGAAATGTTTAATAGCTTTTGCTGTGTAGGTATTACCACTATGCAAAGTGTTGGAAGTTTTGTTGAACAGTTTTTGGTTTCTGTCACCATATCATTGATATTGAGGCTTGCACAATCATTGTGCAAAGACCAAGCGTTCGATACCTTAACAAACGGATGATTGGATATATTTTGAAAGCGCGTTCCCCAACGCTTTCCAGGTAGTTTATTTACTAGCGCCCCAAATGGTTGGTCTCTTCTGACTGGTAGCCAAACTGACGATATGTGATAACGTTGCAGCACCGCCACAATTGATTTGAAATCCGTTTCATCAAGATCAAGGATGCTGACGGTGTTGCCATGTTTAAAGGAGATTAATGACCAAGTTTCAGGTCCTGTGATGAGGATGCAGATTGAGGCTTTGGCGTTATCTCCAGAGATCTCCAATTTCTTGAAAGGTGCTGGGCAGTTGTTGAGAGCTTCAATTTTCATTTGCACTCCGCCAACACATCGTGGAGGGTCCAAAGGATACCATCTGCTGGACGATCCTTGTTTCAAACACCACCGAGGCAGGGGCTCCAGAGTTTCTGACAGACAAATTGGTTCCGACAGGATTCCTGCTTTGTCCATCACATCATCGGCAAAATCTGAAATTTAATTTTGTTTTAGCGGCTTCGTCAATATGACATGTTTGTTACGCGAATTATATTGTTGTTTAGGAGCGTTATTTTGAAATTTAGCCACGTCTTGGTTAATTAAAGCCATTGGCCCTATTCTGTCTTCAGACGAATGGGTTATGAAAGAAATATTCACTGGGTCGGCCCTTCCGGTAGAGCTGATCTCAAACCATGGTACCTACACCTTCAGACTAATGTATGGAACATTGTATGCACAGAAAACCGACAACAGAAAATGCNCCGAAAATCAGGTAACCTAAAACATTTTCTTGGAAATCTTCGTCGCCAATAAGAAGTCATGTCAATAAATTTGTAGAACTGATATCACAGCATCGTGAGTTGTGCATCGAACATGGGGGATCTCATTTCGAAAAATTTTGATAAATTCACTAATTAATAAAGAAATTTTCTAACGTATTTTAACGTATATTTTACGAAGCAATTGACTGACTTTTACAACACTCTGTATAATTATAAATATTTTCATAAATATCATTAAAATGAGCACTTATGACTACTAATAACCTTATTGTGACATGTTGACACATTGCTAGGCAACGACCGCGAAACAATTAGACAGTGACTTGTAAACAGCAATCGAGGAACGGTGTTTTCTGCGTGATCCGTGCCTGGATGTTATAAGCAGGACAAATAGTCAGAGTTAGTTAATGCAATGCAGTGCAGGGAAGTGAATAGTTACTTGGTAAGTTAGTGAGTTAGTCAGAGAACTGTTGCTGTTAGAAGCTGATAGCTGAGGCGCGGGAACAGTTCGAGAACCCAGAGGAAAGGGAACGTCCGGAGTTGGAAGTCTCTAGCAGGCAACGACTAGTGAAGACAACAGACTGAGAAGACTTAGTACATACTGTAGTGAGCTGCAGAGTGTGTGAATTAGCGACAGCGCTCCAGTTACTTATAGCTACGATCTGTAAGTGTTCAATAAATCCAATTACCAATCCAAACCCCGTCTATAGTCACTCATACACGTGACAATATATTTATTTCTAAGGACCCCCAAAATAAGGCGACCTTAATCGAATCGTCGCAACGAAGGAATGCACCTGCCAAACAAACAACATTGTTGCACTTCCTAAATAAAGCGTTTGAAAATGTTAATTAATAATTAGATTTATTAGTTCGTCATGTTTCGCCTATTTTAAAGTTTTATTAGTTTTTATTGTCATAATCAGTCAATCAGAGGTCAAAACCATGTGGATCCATACATCCACTCCCTCATATTTTAGTACATAATTAGTTAAATGCAGAGAAATTTTACCTTACAGTACTGTTTCCCCCCCCCCTTGGCACTACAGCCCCAGTGGGCCTAGGCCTACCTGCATGAACTGCGTTCACTTCGGTTTTTCTAGATCTTACACATTCGGTAGGACTCCTTGGGCGGGTGATCAGCTCGTCGCAAGGCCTCTACCTGTACACAAACACAGAAAAACGCACACAAACATCCATGCCCTGAGTGGGATGCGAACCCACGATCCCGGCTTCCGAGCGAGCGAAGACAGCGCATGCCTTAGACCGCTCGACTACCGTGACGGGCACAGTACTGTTATAGCACTGTTATTTCTTGGACAATAATTTGAACCGGTTTGTCCAAATTTTCGATTATCCGAACCACATTTGTCACTAATTAACTCGGATAATCGGCGTTCTTCTTCATTTGAAAGAGAAATCTTGTCTTAATTTTCAGCTGATAAGGTACCTCCAGCGTGTGAGTGATACCAACTTCAAATAGACGCCGCCCCCCCTCCCCAATATTATCTACCTAACATTCGTGATTGTCAAGTAGATCTGTGTGTCACTAAGCTGATACCTGTTGGAGTTCCTGCAGACTCCGGCCACGTGACTGTGACGACACGTCCATGAGGACCCAGTAGTGAGGATTCTTCCGCGGGACACGTCTGTACCTGGAAGCACGGAACACAAAATGCGTACGAGTCCTGATACTGCATCGGCCTCTGTTAGGACACCTTCTCTAAATACATTTATGTCGTGTATAACTTTTCTCCAATTATAATTAGAATGATCAAGGCAAGGAGGATAACATGGGCAGGGCATGTAGCATTTCGGTGCGAAAACCAGAAAGAAAAAGACGATTAGGAGGAACTAGACATGGGTCGGAAGATAATATTAAAACAAAAATCTAAACAAACTCCGTGGCTTTACTCCGCAAGCGAAATATACCGACCGAGCGACCGCCGCTTTTCGGGGATGTTAGTGCCAACTTTTGCGGGTAGAGGGTGTCGCGTGGTCAGCGCAACGTATCCCCACGGCCGTTAATTTCGGTTTTCTAGACGACAGCCTCTACTTTTCCATGCAGGTAGCTCTTCAGTTATCCTCACGAGGCTGAGTGGACCCCGTTCCAGACCCACTACATCACAGAAAATCTGGTAGCACCGGGAGTCTAACCCGGGACCTCTGGTTCCGTAACCAGGAAATTTGACCACTAGACCACAGAGACTGTCAATAATATTAAAATGTTAAGAGAAATAGTATGGGTTGGTATTGACTGGATTGATCTGGCTAAGGATAGGTGACAGTGGAGAGGGCTCCTTGTGAACACGGTATTGAACTTTCGGGTTACATAAAATATTGTGAAATTCTAGAGTAGCTGTACAACTGTTTTTCTTTTCTGAAGAAGGAGTGAGTTCCATGAAGTTTTTTTATTTTTTATTTTTCGTTACTAGTGGGGTGGGACTAAGTCCCTTGTACTGCGGCCACTTCTGGCCTATTGTACCAGCCCCAGATGATAGGTGAGGGTGATTGTGGAGCAATTGGTGGAATGAAGATTGGCAGGGGAAACCGAAGTACTCGGAGAAAACCTGCCCCAGCGCCACTTTGTCCACCACAAAACCCACTTGACCAGACCCGGGATCGAACCCGGGCCGCCGCGATGGGAAGCCAGCGACTAACCGCTTGAGCTGTGGTGCGGCCTCCATGGAAGTAGTTAATGTAAAATTGGCTTGGATTATGAAGATATCTGCCATGGCATATAATGCAGTCATATTTTAAAATTGTCGTGAAAGGACTTCGGTCGACAGAGGCTAAACACCGCCTCAGGTAACGAATCCATAATTGGCAGAACTGTTTGGACTCGGTACCAACAGGTATCTTTTTCTCTGGGGGTAAAGCGGCTGAGAGCTTGAATCTAATAGGTCACCTCCATGTACTGCAGAGGATAAGAATGATGGAGCTATACCTCCACCCTCTTGACACGTCTTTATGTCATGGTGCTTAATTAATTAAGCAGAGAAACAACTTTACCTTACCTTACCTAATGAGCTACATCATAAAATGCCACCCGTAAAATACATACTTGGATTAACATTGTTTCTTTACCTTGTTCGGTGTTACGTCATCAGAGTCTTCGCCGTGTGCATTGCGTGGTGCAATTGTTTTCACAGCGGAACACAGAGCCAGCAGCAGCAGTAATACCGTGTACAATTCTGCAATAAATTATTTAACGAGTACAAGACCAAACAGTTTCACTGCCTTACTTTACAAACACAACCCATAACGTTCAAGGTTAATGTGTAATAATTTCTTAAGAAATACGTTAACACGCAGTTCAAACTGAAAAGGTCACACTGCGTTACAGAAGAAGAGGGTTCCAGTATCCGACGTCCATGAAACTCTACAAAACTGATGCATGTGACTTGAATTTGACAGTTGGTGTATTCGAATCCCTGATTGGGACACTAGCTGTATTGACTGAGGGCTTTCGTGGCGTTCGTCGGTGCCTACCCAGCTCGTTGAGGCACTGTACTACAAGCCGGAAGGTCGCGGTTTCGATTCAAGTAGAGGTTATCGGATTTTTCAATTGACGTAATCCTTCCAGCCGCACTATGACCCTGAGGTCGACTCAGGCTCTAACAGAAATGAGTACCAGGAATCTTCCTGGGGGTAAACGTGCGGCAGGCGCGGAAAACTGATAACCTCACCGCCATTAGCCTGTTGTCTAGAAAATGTGGGAGCCTCGACGTCTCACAAACCTACAGGCCTCCACGGCCTGTACATTGGCAGCTTTATCTTTTATACTTCGAAATTGGTCACGACCACTTCCTCCCAATCCTTTCCAATCCATCAGGTATCAAGAAACCTGCCATTCGACGCTACTCCTGTATAATCCAGAAAATGGGAAAACGGGGAAGTAACGCAAAGATACAAGAAAAGATGGAACTAAATAACAGGTAGGTATAGCAGTATAGCTTTAGACTACTACTTCGGAGATTCTGGGTTCGAATATCGGCTGGGACACTGCCTATAATGGATTAGGATTTTGCTGCTTCTCCTGAGATACTACAGGTTAAAGCTGGAGGACTAGGACTGGAACAAAACTGTTTGAATCCAAATTCATCCAAATTCGTCAGTCTACATCCCACTAGACGCAGTATACGTAGCTTACACAAGTGTTTTTCGGTATTCCGGAGGCACCGTTAAACATGAATTGATGTAAAGTCACATCATGAATGCTCACATACCCCTGCACACGTCTTGAAAGATTCATCCTTATTCATCAATATTAAGGGCTACTTTATTCTTGTTAGTAAAAGTTGTTTTTCGCTATTCCGGGCGCACCGTTACACATAAATTGATGTACAAATAAATTGTAAATGCTCACCTTACGTCGCATTTGCTCCAAATAAAATTTCATATTACTATATTATAATGGCTTCTGTACTCTTGTTCTGAGACATATTTCTTTTGCCAGTTTCCCCATTTGAGAATCATATTTTTTTTTCCTGTGGCGCTATAGCCCCAATTTGGGAGTAGGCCTACCTCCATGAAACTCTCCGTTTCACTTCGGTTTACTAGATCTTACACATACGGTAGGACTCCTTGGGCGAGTGATCAGCTCGTCGCAAGGCCTCTACCTGTAGACAAACACAGAAAAACGCACACAAACATCCATGCCCCGAGTGGGATCCGAACCCACGATCCCGGCTTCCGAGCGAGCGAAGACAGTACATGCCTTAGACCGCTCGGCTACCGTGACCGGCAGCGTATAAGAGTAATATATAACAATTCAGTTCGTGCCTCACAGGAAACAGATCCAAACCCACGATCCCTGCTTCCGAGCGAGCGAAGACAGTACATGCCTTAGACCGCTCGGCTACCGTGACCGGCAGTGTATAAGAATAATATACAAGAATTCAGTTCATACCTCACAGGAAACAGATCCGAACCCACGGTCCCGGCTTCCGAGCGAGCGAAGACAGTGCACTCCTTAGACCGCTCGGCTACCGTGACCGGCGAGAATCATATAGTTTCACTTATTCTCATACCAAAATACTTTTAAGTCTCTTTTCACTGATTTCCCATAGCATTGAGGATCGAAATTCGGTGAAGAGTAGACTCAATCATTGGTAACCGAATTTTATATATTCCCTTAATTTCCTGTCTTTACCACAGATGCATTTAAGGCGGATTATTTGACTTGCATCCCTCGTGGCATTCTTTGTATTGGTAGCCCCGTTTTCACAATTCTTCTATTTCACTTTCTACTCTTCGTCATGATTATTTAATTTCGTATTCAGTGCCTAGACTCCTCTCCCTGAACTTAAGAGAAATATTACAAAACGCAAATTATACAACAAAATGTAGATAAACTCACCTGGATTTGCCATAACTACCAACACGATTGTCTCTTCTACAAAGGACTAATTTAATGATTGCAGATATCTGTGTGTTTATTTTACATGCTCGTCTCCATGCCGTTGCTTAGGAATCGTTATCTCATTTCTGTATATCAGATGTACACACAGAGGTGCTGGCAGTCCCCGCCCTTGCGTACATTACGTTAATCTGGGATGAATCTCTGGAGTGTAAATATGACGGTTGGACGGCGGGGGGAGCAGTTGTAGCGATATTTGCACACAGAACAGACATTACGGGCGATGTAATTATCTCTCTTCTCCGTAAGGGTGAAGAATTGGTTTATACTTAGTCCTTTATTGGGCCGCGCCATAGCTCAAGCGGTTAGTCGCTGGCTTCCCACCGCGGCGGCCCGGGCTCGATCCCGGGTCTGGTCAAGTGTGATTTGTGGTGGACAAAGTGGCGCGGGGGCAGGTTTTCTCCAAGTACTTCGGTTTCCCCTGCCAATCTTAATTCCACCAATTGCTCCACAATCACCCTCACCTATCATCTGGGGCTGGTACAATAGGCCAGAAGTGGCCGCAGTACAAGGAACATAGTCCCACCCCACTAGCAATAAAAAATAGTCCTTTACTGTCCTCTTTAAATTTTGTTTTTTGTTCAACACGCTGTTAATAATTCGGCTTATGTTGAGGAGTACGACGGTTAGTGTACAGTGAATGGTAAAGGATGTGGAAGGAAGCGGCCATAGCGTTATTTGGGGAAATATCTCAGGATTTCCCTGAAAGAACTAAGGAAAGCAAAAATACTAACATAGAATATTCGGTGTCCCAGTCGGGAATTGAACAGCGCTCTTCTGGAATACAAGTCAGGAGGTTTACCACTGTGTGTCTGTGATTGTGTACAAAGCTTTCCAGGTTCTAAGCAGGACAGTTTTTCTCAGAATTTAATATTCAGAATGCTTACCTTATGAATATAGATTTTCCAATACAAGAAAGGACACTACAAAGGAAATTGAAAAGGCTTTGTTGGGTCTGAGGTACATGCGCCGGTGCCTCCTGGAATATGAGGCTGTGTGATTCAGGTAAAGTTAACCGTCGTTTCAGAGGAACATGCTGTCACAATCTTCAAGGTCGAATACGTTAGCTATAGTCTTCTTCGGTTATTCTTAGATCATGGAGATGGATCTAGTCGGTTCCTCTGAAACGTCGGTAAACTTATGTCAGATTACAAGGCTCCGTAAACCAGAAGACAGTACTGTTGAAAAAGTAGGATTAAAGTTTTCTCGAAGTGAATGAAACGATTTGAAATTTTACTAACAGAACTGCATATGCTGTAGTTTCCAGGAAGAATCTAATTAGTCAAAAATTTTCTTCTCTATGTCAGTTTAGACCGTTATAAAAATTGAGAAATACAGGTATATTGCGTGTGATTTTTAATAAGGGAGCACGCGGTAGACTAATTGGTTGAGACACTATGCTACATACCTCAGGATCGCGTGTTCGATTCCCGATGAGGTGGACTTCTTTCAATATACTTAATCCTTCCAGCCGCACTATGGCCCTGGGGTCGACTCAGCCTCTAACAGAAATGAGTACCAGGAATTAATTAAATAATTTTCCTGGGGAGTAAAGCGCGGACGGCTCGTAAGGCTGACAACCTTACCGCCATCTTTGAGCCGATTGTCTAGATAATGTGGGAACCTCAACGTCTCAGAACCCTATGGGCCTCCATAGGCTGTTACTTTTACTTTACTTACTGTTGGAAAGAACAGCCATTCATTTTCCATAAATATCCATGAAGAATGTTGTCTTATTGGATATGACGCCGTGTAGATCTTGTGTGAACCGACGTTCCGGAGGAGCGTATCGCCTCCATCTTCAGGGTAGAAAAATCCGCGAACGAGGAACCAGCGTGAGCAGGTGTCTGCAGGTTCCAGCCCCATATAAAATGTTTACCGAGGGCTGTTTCGCCGGGGGTAAAGTGACAGAGCTGTGAAGCTCACCACTCACCTCCATAAGTCTCCATGGCGTAGTGCTTAATTCAGCACAGGAACAGACTTATCTTTTTACATTGCGCACACACTGGCGTCGAACCAAGAATGTTCAACTCTAAAGTGAAATCAATTCTGTTACACGAGTATGGATGGGAGACATGAAGAGTCACCCAAGAAACATGTAAGAAATTACAAGGTTTTGATAAATCATGCCTGCACAGAATACTAAAAGTGAGTTGGTCAGTTATAACTAACAAAAGAACTATGGAAACAAACAAATGAAATAAAAATAACTGAACAGATAAGGTAAAGTTGTGCCTGTACATAACTAATTAAACACTACGCCATGAAGACGTATGGGGGAGTGGATGTATAGATCCACATTTTCTTGAACTCTACACTAGCTGGAGGCGAGTGGTCAGCTTCACGCCCCTATCGCTTTACCCCCTAGGCAAGAGCCCACGGTAGCATTTGGATAGGAGGTTGGGTGGATCCCAGAGCCGGTCTGGACGAAGTGGAGAAGAGAAAATTCTTGATCCTACAAGGATTCAAACTCGGTCGTCCAGCCTGCAGCCAGTCGCTACATCGACTGAGCTATCCCGGCTTATAACTGAAGAGATAATGAGACGTAAATGGAACTGGACCGGCCATACTTTTCGAAAGGTGAAAAGGAAGTTATGGAGTGGAACCCACAAGGACAAAGAAAAAGAGGAGTTGCAGAGAACAGTAGGAGAGGGACAGATTGGGGAGAAATTAAACAAATCAGCAAGACCCGTGTGAGATGTCGCCAATTTGTTAATGCCCTGTGCTCCAGTGGGAGCTGAAGGACGCTGATGATGATGATGATGATGATGACTGGTATCTGGTATTTTTAAATGACATCCTTCTACAGTATTATCTGATAATTACTTATGGAACTTCCTTGTTTGTGCTGTATCGACTTTATCTAAAAAGGTTTATGTAATCAGTATGAACTTTTTGATAATACTAATTTTGTAATCTGGTGTTCCAGGCTGCGGGGACGGTGCTGGAGCCACCTAGGAGATCCCTTTAGTTACTATCTGAACCGGCGTCCATATCTTCAAGGAAATGGCGTCAGAGGATTTCCGGATGTCATGTAATTTTCGTGAATACCTCGCACAGCTGGAATAGTTACGTCACATTTGCAGCCCATGAGTACATAGATGCCGAATATATGTGCTTTCGATACGAGATATATATAGGCCACAGTAACAGCTCATACTAGGCGAGATACATGCTTACTTATGGAGCTAAGCCCTTCTTAAGGAGCCGCCAACTGTGCAGCTACTCAAGAATTTCCCAGCATTATATGGAACCCGAAGGGTCATTACCGTGTTCACAAGAGCCCTCCACTGGTCCCTATCCTGAGCCAGATCGATCCAGTCCATACCATCCCATCCTATCTCTCTAAGATCCATTTTAATATTCTCCAACCACCTACATCTTGGTCTTCCCAGTGTTTTTTTTCTTCTGGCTTTCCCACCAATATCCTATATGCATTCCTTTTCACCATTCGTGCTACATGCCCTAGCTACCTCATCCTGAGACGTCTGAATTAGTGGATCATTGGGTGGTAAATTCATAACAGCATATTCATTGAAACATTTAAACATGACAGGGTTTCAAACCCAGTTCCTGACCTACATGAATAACTGTGCCAATGAGTATTATGCTGCGTGGAGATTGATAATATCTTCAGTATAATAGTGAGACTATATAATATTAACATATATTAGCTTTTACCAAGTAATTTTACTGTTTGTTGTAGACTGTAGCGAGATGATGGTGCAGTGACGTCTTGTTTGAAAATGAACTGTCTCTCCACATCCATGTGATTGGTGGTCATCTGTGTTCATTGGACATGTGCACAGCAAGATCTTGCAGAGCTAATAGAAACTTGAGGGGGAAGATGACTGTTTTTCAGCAGGCTTATAAAGAGATGATCCAAGACCTGAAAGGGAACTGAAATACAGTGAAACCCCCTCAGTGCTCTTTGATGCGAAATTAATCTCAGGTAACATTCAGTTTTGGCGACGTTGTGTCAGTAACCTCATTGTTAAATTACATGCACGCAAGAATCCACTTCTTGGCAATGAGACCTTAAATAGGAGATTCACTGTGTGCAGACTGCATCTGTATGCCATTGGAACCATCACCAATCACAGAAACATGCCTCCCTGTTGACAGTCATGTGTCACGGGAAGTCTGGATGAGGATTTCCAGCACTGGAAGAAGTGCAGCAGTTGTGTAAGAGGTTCATCTGCCAGCGCTACAGATGATGCGATGGGTAAACTACCGCATCATTCTCCGCCACAAGATACTAGTCTTGCAACTAGCTTTACAAATGTATGTTATCATTATTATGATGCTTAAAGTGTGTGTTGGTCAAAACGAATGACCTGTGTTTGAATTATATGTAAGAAATTTAGATTTATTTACAGGAGGGGGGGGGGNGTATTCATTCAGATGGCAAAGGTAGAAAATGATTCCAGCCTAGTGCAGTATATCAGTATTCATGGCAGAAGTATATGCCATTAACCCTGTGTGGGCCAAGTTTTTGGACAGCTTGAGACAAAATACGAATTAAAGGACGTATATGACACCTGTAACCTAACCTAGCTAACTTATAACAGAATGTACTCTTATTTAATGTAACCTGTCCTAAAGTAACTTTAACCAAAGCTAATAAAATTAACCTGAGCTAACATGTCGAGGAAAGTACAGAAAGGGTCAAGGTGTGTATACTTACTGCCATAAGCTTCATGAATTTAGCCTATTGGTTTGTATGAAGTTCACTCTGCACTGTACCTCACCATCCATAGGAATACACAAACACAGAATAGTCCCATTTTAGGAGAACACACAATGAAAAAGATGTCTTTGCATCAGTTATGTTGATACTGATAAAGACATCTTGCCCAGATAAAGGGATATGTGGTTGGGGTGGACAAATTATTATTACTGTGGTGAAGGGGGGGGCTGGCAGCCATGTACTATATTTTAGATTTATGGTTGTCTGCTTTGATATTGCGATAAGCGTAATTCCAAAACTTGTACTTGAGATTGTATTGCTTACTGTGATAACCAGAAGTTAATGTATATATAAGACCTTTACCGTTGTGTATGTGTGGCTGGCTGCCTATCATTGTTTGATAGAGGTCTTGAAAGTGCTATGTACTTGTATGTGGATTCTAATTTTGTTATTGCTATTTGTAAAATATTTCAACATTCTGTAGACAGAAATATGTTTGTTGCCAAACAACATAATTATACATTCTCATAATCACTGTCAATTTGTCAGTTACGAGGTTAGGAACAGAATGTCCCACATATTTACGTATAGAATTGATTTGTATTAAGGCCAGGAGAGTTCACTGATTGACTACTGTTATAATTGCATGAATTTCTGTTCTACTTGCTGCCTCAGTGGCAGAGCATATGGATTGTGTATGAATGAACTGTATGTTACCAGTTTCTGAAGACTTGAGCTATCAGAGTATTTCCCATCAAGATATGTATTTTTTTTTTATAATGGGGTATTGTTATGTCTTTATTTGAAGATATGTCATTCATTATGAGATGACTGGACCAATTGAGTCAGTATGAACTGTGCATATCCAGAGGAAGGATTCTTAATACTGGTGGTGTTTCAGTTCAGAAAAATGCGATGGATTGTATGTGTTGCGATCTGTTGGATTTGTTTTACTTTGGAATACATATACTTCATATTTGTTTGACAGTTTGTAATACTCTCCTGAGTGCAGTAGTGTGTAAGTATTCATATTGTTGATCTCTTCAATTTATTTGAAGAGTGGCAAGTTAGGTAATTTTTATGTAAGAGGGCAAGCTGAAAACAAAAAGAAATTAATTAGTATTTTATTGAAACAAAAATGGATAATTTTTTAATGTAAGGCAGGCAGGTGCAACAGTGGAGGGGAATAGGACTAAGGAAATGGAAAATAATGGCAGCCTCCCACATGATATTTAAGCTGAATATAAATGATTTATGACCAGTGAGAAGTCCATGATGGTCTTTGGTGAAGCAGGATTAATCAGGGTTCTCTAAGGGGGAATTTGGGAAGAACTGTTATGGAACCTCTGGCATGACATGATAAGATAACAGGTCAGAGGGTTTAGGGCAGATAAATTGCTGCAGTAGGACAGGGAACATACCTTTGGGGAGGGGGGTTAAGCATGTGAAGAGAGGTCAGTGATGTATCACATTTATTACAATTTAAGGCACAGAGTAAATATGGCATGTATAGCTCGTTTTGTAGTTCATATGATCTGTTTGTAGTGTCTAAATATTGTGAAGGCTGAGCACTTGATGTACAAAGTTACACAGTACCTGGACTTTATGTACTTGGTGAAGATGCTTAGGATATATCCATAGCCTGTCAATCCTGGAGTGTTTCATGTTGTCACATGTAGGTTCTGGATGTGTAAGTGGTAGGTTTGGATGGAGGGTCACAAATGGTAGAAAAGTGGCTCCATGTACTGCAATTTTTGTAGGAAGCGTTTTTCATTGCAGTAAGGGCGTACAGGATTCCACCGAAAGGGGATAGAAACAGGTGCAGGTCGGGATGCAAAGCAGGCACTGCAGCCGGAATTTATGTGAAGTGTTGAGGTTTGGTCAAATTACAGCAAAATTTTGGAGCATGAAGTGTTGTGGAAATATGTTGGCAGGTATGAGATACAAACGGACATATTCAGAAGTGTGGGTGGCGAAAGTGCCAAGAAAGGTAAGTATGAGTATATTAATATATTGTGAATTTGATATTAGCATGTAAGAAGGGATAGATGAATGAAGTAATTCTGTTGAGGAAGAAGTTGAAACATTTGCGTGTGAAAGTGCTAAAAATGGAGACACTGAAGGGTATTGTAATGAGATAATGCAATGTGAAGCAGAGTTCCGTTTATGAAAGGATTATTGAAGAATTGTTGCAGTGGAGTTACATTTTGTGGTAGAGAATTTTCATTCATGAGACTGGGAATGTGACATGTATGTTATGCATAAAGAAGTTTATAATACTTTGGGCAGATGGGGAACAAAATTTAAACAAGTTGCATGGCAGGGTAACAGATGTGTAGAGAACTGGAGACATGAAAACGTTGAGATGGTAATCCCAGTATGACTATGCTGTGACTGGAGGGCCATCAGTTTAAACAATTTTATGTGGAGGGTCAGAAGCATAAATAGCCTTGTCTCTAGTGGATGTGTTCCATATTCACACACTAAGATACTAACACCAGGGCGTTTAAATTTTTTTAGTGATGTAGGACATTCCATTTTTAAACCAAATGGCGGAAGGGGCGAGGGGGGATGAAGTGAAGGACAGATAGCCTGCAGTTAGCGTTCTCTTTCTATAAGAAAACTCTGCTGTGACAGAAAACGATGTGAATAATATGTGTACTGATAGTNGGGGGGGGGGAGTGCAGTGGGTTGGTAAGGCATGGAATTAATTGTTCTGTGGAACTGAAAATACGTTAGTTTCGGAGGTAGGACCCCGCCTGGCTGCGGGGGAAGTTTTTACGAGCGCGGCCCGTCGCTCCGAAGGGGCTTTCCATGGGGTTTTAGTCTCGAGCGATTGAACTCCAAGATGAAATATACCGTCCACAGAGCATTATTTATGTCTGTAATGTCGTATGCTTGCCTTGGGATCTGCGGCAAATACCCACGTTTCGAAAGTGCGGCGCTTAGAAATCGAGGTTCTCCGCAACAACACCAATATCCCAAGGCGCAGAGCGGTCAGCAACCAGAAGCCACAGAAGATCGTGAAAATGCAAATGTTCTGAATACTGGATAAGGCGAAGCCCGACAGAACACGAGGCTTCAAATTTGCGGCGTTGAAGCTTATGATCATTGAGGTGACTAAATTGCCGGTCTAGCGTGAGCTAATGAAAATAAGGCAGAATCTGTTGTGGACTGACAGGAGGCTTATATATATTGCCAGTAATTGACTGTGACACGTGAGAAGGGATAGACTCGTCTTGTCATCAGAAAGGATTCGTATTAAGGCGTCTCCACATTACTCGTGCTCGTGCCCTTGTGACTCGCGAATAATGTGGACGGTATGACAAGTCACGAGACAAGCTAATTTTTAATTTAAAAACTATAGCCAACAAATTAAAATACGACTACAGCCTATACACACTACGAGTAAATATACGGATCCTCACGCGCCGAAGCCTGGCGAGCAACTGAAGTAGTATGGACGAAGATTTACGAGCACAAGTAAAAGCCAGACGAGCACGAGTAATGCGGACGCGCCTTTTAGAGGCCAAGCAGTGAAGCTTACGAATACTTCAGGACTAAGATCTGGTCAAGAGCGTCTGAATGGGCTCTAAATTAAGAGAAAGTGACTGGCCGATCGTCAGTCGCAAAATGACTTTGAAACGAAGCACGAAGTAAAGAGAAATTTTGTAAAAGTAGAAACGAAGCGGTAGGATATGTGGAAGACGAAGGCGAATAGTTGTATTTTACCAGTAGGCCACCAATGCCACGAAAAATTTTCACCGTTAATCTTCCTCTTATGTTACATGTCGCTATATAATGCCATAAAAATCTCATTACAAAAATCCTTGTCGTTTTGAACCACGGACCTTTCATTTACAACTCCGGTGCCTTACTCTAGACCACCAGAACATCCATCCTAAAGCTTTCTGCAATAGTCCTTATATTATACGAGTTGATTTATAGATGCAGAAAAAATCTTACTTATTTATTCACTTTTCAATTTCTATTAATAAAAGACACCGTGGTCTCGAAACCCGTACCTAACCAATACTTCGCCAATGTCTTACCCACGTACCACCAGATTTATACACATTTGTTACCTTCGCCTTCCTCATACAGTACGACTTGCTTCCTACATGCACAAATTTCTCACATTTCCACCCCCCCACACACACAAAAATAGTCATATCTTCGAACTACGTACCTTCTAAACCATACACCAGTGCCTTACCAAAGGACCGCCACGGTTATGACAACTATTCGCATTCGTCTTCCACATATCCTACCGCTTCGTTTCTACTTT